ACAAAAGTGTTTAGGGTTTTGGGCCGAATAGGCTTAGGGCCTATAGGGCTTAGGGTAACGAGTCTCATTTCCAGGCATATGTTCCAGCTCCTGGTTCGAAAACAAGGCTTAGGGTGATGTGAAGGGGTTTGTCCGGCTGGACATGAACCCAGCGGGAAAGCTTTTTTTTCTAATCTTTTTAGGGCTTGTGGGTCAAAAGGGGTGATTCGTCAAAAAGGTTTGAAGGGATTTAGGACCCTGTGCCGGAGAATGTCAGGGATTACCAGACTAGCGACCCCCGCCTAAACCCTAAACCCTAAAGGCCCTCAACCCCTTCCCCGCATGGACATTTTCAATCAGAGACGCAGCTCCTCAACCTTAGCCAAGGGTTTACGGGTCCAGGGCTGAGGCTTCCGAAACTCCTCTGACATCTCTTAGGCAACGTTTCAAAAACATATCGAAGGCGGTGGGGTGGGGCGCGTTCTCTAAGCATGAGGGCCGCGTGGACCCCCGCAACGCATCGGATAGCCTGGCCGTGCACTTTCTTTGAGGTTGCGAGTTTAGTGTAGGGGTTCATGCGATTTCGCATCCCTAGAACCTTAAAGCATCTGTGAACCCAAAACCCTGCCAAAAAGGGTTTTGGGTGCCCTTGCGACTCCAGACCCCAAACCCTGCCCAAGCCCCTCCAAAAGCGGGGGGGGGGGGGGGGGGGGCGGGGGTTATGGATTCCAGAGCCCAGCCAACCGAATGAGGTGCCCATCGACCGTGGTGCCTCTTGGGCGAGCACGGACGTTGGAGCGAGCCCTATGACGCGGCCTGCGCTGAAACGAAAGGTATTTCGGGCTCAGGGAGTGTGGGTTCACGTCCAAGATCTGGGGAGCTTGCTCCTCAGCCCCCTTAAATCTGGAATTGGAAGTGTCCGGTGCTGCCCTAAACCCTAACCCTAAACCCCAAACCCCAAACCCTAAACCCTACACCCTAAACCCTGTTCCAAAGTCAGAGATTTCGGAACATCGTTGGAGCAAGGCTTCCCCGCCTTGCTCCCGAAATCTGGTACTTCGTTGTTGTGAGGGTTGGGTGCGACAAGGTTCACTATTCCCTTACAGGGTAAATCTTTGTCATAGATGGGTAACATGTTAATTGGTGAAGGGTACTTAATCCCAATAAGGAATAACAATTGAATTTTGAAGATTATCCCAATAATGAACTAGAAAAAGGGGGATATAGGGTACCTCATTCCCTCATTCCCTACTAACCAGCAGTAAGTGTTATGCATTGAACATCCTCAGCCTTGGAATCATGTCAGTTATCTCCTCTCCAAATGACAGGTATTTTTGCAGCAGCTGACTATGATCGTCATCCTTCTTACGGTTGGGATTCCTCTAGCTATTCCTCTGATCATGGTTATGAGTTTTAGTATGCTGTGATTCGTAGTACTTCGGGGCCACGAGTCTCTGCAATTGAAGGCTTGCTGTTGGGATGTTCCCCCCTCTATACTAGCAGTCCTTGATAGGGATGATGATAGTCCCCATGAAGGACTCTTACTTTTAGGGGGAACCATCCCAAGCTTGCTGGGTTGCTGGGCTCCTACCAAACCATCGACCTTGAAACGCAAAGCCGAAAGAAATCCCGCAATCTTGCAACCCCTACAAAGAACCCCAAAACAGCCCTACCCAGACACCCTAGCATTCTTTCATTCAAGAATAGAATAGAACTTGAAGCGTATATGGTTCTGATTCTGAATTGAGGTGTGCCACCCTACAAAACCCAAAAACTCTAGAAGCCGCGAGAAGCCCTAGAAGCCCTAAACCCCACCAGAAGCCCTAAACCCCAGAAACCCTAGAAGCCCTAAACCTCATCAGAAAGGCATTCTCAGCCTTCCTAAGGAACCCCAAAACCTAGGAATCCTTCATCTTCCCCCCCGACGCCCCCCCCATTCTCCTCCGTGATTTCCATCAGGACGCAAGAAGTTCTTATCTTGACTCTTGTTCCCTAGACCCTAGACCCTAAACCCTTTGGGCAAAGGTGCACAGAGGTGTTACCCTAGACCCTGAACCCTACACCCTAAACCCTCAACCCTTTGGGCATGTAAACTTGCGGTTCCGGGGCCGGCGAGCTCAGGAATTGCTCACCAACGTCGCTCCCAGACATGGAGTCGGTCGAGTTTCAGGACGCTGGGAGGGTTTAGGGTTTAGGGTTGAGGGTTGAGGGTTACGGGTTACGGGTTACAGGTTCGTGCGGTGGGCTTTTGGGGCTTCTCGGGCTTTTTGGGGCTTCGAGGTTTTTTGGGGGGCTTTTGGGGCTTGTAGTAGCGCTTTTAGGCAAGTGGTGGCCTGAAGCTCAACTTCCTCAAACTGAAAAGATTGGGGTTTAGGGTTTAGGGTTTAGGATTTAGGGTTTAGGGTTTAGGGTTTGGGGTTTAGGTAGGGTTTAGGATTGGAAGGTCCAGGTTTGTGCTCACTTCAAGGACTCGAACAAGCTTATAGACAGATTTAGTTCGTAGAAGACCCAAAAAGGGCTTTTCTTGGCTCTGCTCCTTGCGCGGTACGGCCCACACCGGTTTAGGGTTTAGGGTTTAGGGTTCAGGGTCATTTGGCAATTCGCAAGAAGATGTGGCTTGAAACAAGGACCTCCCTAGACGGAGTGGATTGGAACAAACTTGCAAAAGGTTGCAACCCAATCCCTGTTGCTGCATATGTCGACCCCACCCAGCAGCAGCTGCTGTCGAGATGTCGAAATGTTCCTCTTCCAAAATTCGTCGTGCGGTGCACAGTAGCGGATGGCGGTTTTGAACTGGGCCGCTCATGAGGAATAATTGTTGCAAGGGATCCTTCAGTTCGAAGAACGACTCTTTCCAAAGCAGCTTTCTCCGAAATCAAGCAACAACCTCCGGTTCAAGCTTCCCGAACGAAACCAACTTAAAACCAGCCTCTAGCCCCAAACAGGAGGGTTTAGGGTCCAGGGGCAGAAAACACCCCACCAAGCCGAGCTCCAAAGAGGCCAAGACACCCGTGGGGCGGCAGGGCCCATGCCCAGCGGGCCGCGCGGCGCACCTCGACCTGCACCCCTCACTGTTGGGGGTTTAGGGTTTAGGGTTTAGGGTTTAGCAGGGAATGAGGGAATTAGGGCCTTATATATACCCTTTCAGGGATGATATAGGGTACCTCATTCCCCCAGTACCTGTTAACCAACAGCAAGAGTTATCGCGGGGTTTACGAAATCAGGGGTCCCTCATTATAGACCCCAAATCGCAGGATTCCCTGATAATAGGGACCCCAATAAGGTAGCCCGATGTTCGGAAACCCCCTTATAAGTGGGATTATACAAGTGGGGATATATAAGTAGGGTAATTAACTATAATCAGTACTGGTTATAGCCTGATTTGCGGTACTTAGAACCCTAGCTATAACTGCCCATGCACCTCCAAGTATCGGGGGGGAGGGGGGGGGCGGGGGGGGGGGGGGCGGGGGGCGGGGGGGGCCGGGGGGGCGGGGAGGGCGGGGGGGGCGGGGGGGGGGGGGGCTAGAGGGGTCTGCAGCATTGAGGTTTTCAGGGGTTGTGTGTGTGTGTGTCTGTTGTTTAGGGTTTAGGGTTTAGGGTTTTAGGGTTTTAGGGTTTTAGGGTTTTAGGGTTTTAGGGTTTTAGGGTTTAGGGTTTAGGGTCTAGGGTTTAGGGAATTTTGTGAGGTTTTTGGGTTTGAAGGGCATGCCGTGCTCTAGAGGGCTTTGGGGTTTTAAGGGTAAGATGGTTGCCACAGCTTGTGCATATTGTGTTGAGGTGTGCAAGTCCCTAGTGTGCTGGGCAAGGTTTAGGGCTTCTTCTGTTTCAGGGCCTTCTAGGCTGTAACATAGGGGTCGGAAATGAAACCGTCGCGCCTGTGAGCAGTAAAAGCCCTAGGACGCCGGGTGCTCCCAGGTCCCTAAACCCTAAACCCTAAACCCTAAACCCTAAACCCTAAACCCTAAACCCGTGCTCCCAGGTCCTGCCGCCTTTCGAAACAACGAGCGTTGGCGCTGCAAGTGGAGCTGCTGCTCGGCCCAATGAACTCCCAGGGGGTATGGAGGTTGTTTACGGCTTAAAAATTGGGGCCGGAATAATTGCAAATAGTATGCCCTAAGGGTGCCTTTAGAATTAAACTCTGATAGCCCCCAAAACCCTATTCTAATTATTCAGGCCCCTTTTTGGGGTATTTCCTCCCTGCAGTGTGGTTGCGAGGCTGCTAGGCAGGTGATAAAAAATGCCGGGAAGGCCCAACGTGTGGTGCAGTTCCCAGAGGGGACACTGCCGCAGGTAGAACGTTCTTATTGGCGGACGAAGGACATGCCACGCGGTGCAGCACCACGCACGTGATGGGGGTCCCAGCAAATCGATCTCAGGAGGATTTGATGTTTTGCGTGGTCTGGCATCGGATTGCAGCCCCTCCCAGCCGTTCGGGAAGGTCCCACAGGGGAGAGGGAGGGGTGGACGAATTTGGGGTGGGGCCGTCCCCCAAAATGCACCCTTGCTACCCTCTTGTTGTTGGTAGCTTACCTGAGATTCTTTTTAGACCTTGCTTCAAAGTGACGATTTGCCTCGGAAGTTTAACTTTGATTCTCCTCTGCTCGTTTTTGTGTGTACATGGGTTGTCTGGCAAGTTCCCAGCTGTCCGCCAAACAGCGTGGATGTCTTTCGCTTGAACGAATTTCATGAAAGGACGGGAAGTTTAGCGTGTTTCCGGTAGGCATGTGAGTGGCATTGTTCCGAATGTAGATTTGCCTTGCTGAAAGTTGCTCGCTTGTGTCAGTGGAGCCCTTCAAGGTTGCACGGCAAGTGAACTTGGTTGTTGAACGTCTTTGCCTACACGCCAAAGCCTGTGAAGTGCCTGCATGTCCAAAAATGTTTTCGTGCGAGCAAGTTGAGAAGCACGTCTGATGCTTGAAGAGGCTGTTCTTCTCAAGTCTACTTGAGGCGAGACAAAGCTGCTCTGAGAGCAGTTTAGCTGTGCAAACGTCGGTAGTTTTCCCCACACTTCAGAAGCCGTGATGAAGTGGCTGACGTTGGCGCTCGCTGCTCTCAGCGCCGGGAGTGCTGCAGGACCCCTTAGGGTTTAGGGTTTAGGGTTTAGGGTTTAGGGTTTAGGGTTTAGGGGCTCACGTTGGGACCCTGATGATCCCAATAGCCCCAAGCACCACCTAACCCGTTTCTTTCATGAATGGGATCCATTGTGTCACTGCCGTTGTGTGGGTGAGCTGATGTTGAAGTGATCTCAAGGCATGCAGGATGTAAGGCCTTGAAATTTCTTTCGCGAGAGGGAGGGTGGGAGAGGGAGGGATGGCAAGACCAGAGAAAGAGAGAGAGAGAGAGAGAGAGAGAGAGAGAGAAATGACCGCAAGCCGGGGCAAGCAGCTCGCGCAAGGGGGGGACCTAAGTCCCTCGAAAGACAGGACGAACAGAGCCAGAGTTTTGTGCCTCACCTGACCTGATCGTGTTTGTCAAGTTCGTGGGCCGTCCCGTGCAAAAATGCCACGAACTCATTCCGCATGAGTATTCAGTTTGTTCAGCGGTGCTGCATTTCTTGATCCAGAGCCTAGCACAATGCAATCAGCGTGCAGGATCCAACCTCGCAGTGGTCCGCGTGTTCTCGACGGAGGAGGAGGTGCAGCTGCTCATGGACAGTGCTACTATGTGGGAGTCATCAATGCCATGTGCCAGCAAGTCCAACGTGAGCATGATCGATCTCATCCTGGTCTTCAGCAAGGATCTGGCGGCCGACTCCATGGCCAAGGCAGCGGTGGATTTCTACGGGAATGCCTTCGACCAGAAGGTAGCCTGGACGACTTGCTTCTCCGGCGTCAAGAACATGTCGGCCATGCTGAACCCGGAGCAAGACGTGTACGACAACCGCGGCTACACCACGAACAAGCACTGGGTCTCTGGTCCCAACGCAGTCTTCTCGAAGATCATGACGGCCATGCTTGAGGGTGAGTTCATGGACATGTACGACACCTTCTTCCTCATGGAGATGGACGCGGTTCCCATCAAGAGCGGCTGGCTCGACCAGTTCGAGATGGAGGCTCTTGAGATGCCGGGCGGCAACATGGCCGTCCGCGGGAGCCAGTACCTGGGCGACAAGTGGGACTTGTTCAAGTCGATGATGCCGACCTACTTGGTGGAGCACATCAACGGCAACGCCATGTACAATCTGAAGCACGCCTGGACCAAGGCTGTGTACGACGCGTTCCACAGCATGGGCGGTGGCAGCATGATGGAAGAGATGGCCTTCGATGTGGCGTTTGCCATGATCACAATGGATGCCATGTCTGGAAACAGCAGCCAGTTTGCAGCTGCGTGGACAGCCGCAGGTGGCGACATGGCTACCTACAATTGGGATTCCATGCTGGTGGGCAACTACGCCAACACCCTCCTGAACACCAGCTTCGAATTCCCAACTTACATCCGCCACGGTTCCAGCAAGAACCTCTTCGAGACTGTTGAGGATGACGAAGTGACCCTGGGAGTGGCAATGTTCGACTACCAGGGGCACTTGAAGTCGACCGTGCCCACGCACCACCCCTTCAAGAAGATCCTGGCCCTGACCTACTACCCGCAGCCAGAGATGATGGAGACGATCGCGGGCCCGAACGGCAACATTAGCATGGAGACTAAGACGGCCACGAGTGATGCGTACTACCACCTGTGCGAGACAGCCTCTCTTGTGAAAACGAAGTGGTTCGCCCTCACGGACAACTACCACATCATCAAGGCACCTGTGAGCGTTCTGATGGAGACGGACGACAAGCCCGTGCTGCCCTACGTCCTGAGGAACTCCAAGTACTGCGGCGAGCGTCCCAACTGCGAGGCTTCCATGGAGCAGGCAGAGACGCTGTTCAGCATCACGCTGAACTACCACCACGACAAGTACGAGGTGCTGTACAAGACCGAGGATGCCAAGAAGTTCTGTACGGCCTGGGATCTCGCAACAGCATCTCAATCGTGGAGCGACTGCAGCCTGGCCTTTGGCCCTACCGGGGACGACTACATCGCCTGGAAGATCAGCGACCCAGATTACAACATCACCAACGAGTTCACTCCAAAGGACAAGACACGCTACGGCTGGCGAGCATGGACCAGCCTGTGGAACCCGGCTCCGGTCGATTCCCGCGACTGCAGCACAACCCTCTACGGCCCGAAGGAGTATCTGGAGACCCTCGGCAACATCTCCAAGTGCGCAGTTTCCTATGTGGAGGACGAGGCAGGCTGTGCTGGTGACACTACGTGCATGTGGAAGCCAATGTTCGAGTCGGGCGTTTGCATTCAGGACCCGAAGACGGGTGTTGTCACCTCAACAACGGTGGCGGGAGCTGTCTACAGCAGCATTGAAGTCTCTATGGAAATGACGGTGGAAGATCCGGCCACGATCACCGAGAACGCCACCGTGACCAATGCCATGATTGCAGGTTTTGCAGAGGTGATGGAAGTGGATGAAGAGGATGTCACGCTGGAGTTCGAGACGAACCGGCGCCTCAGTTCCCATGCAAGGAAGCTTCAGGTCACTCTGACGGCCATTTTCACTGTGACAATGCCCAGCATCGAAGCAGCCATCGAAAAGCAAGTGGCAATTGAGACAGTGTCTTTGGCGAAAACGACCGAAGCCATCAGCACTGCTGTCGCCAGCACTGGCTTCACGGGCACCGTGGAGGTCACCGGCAAGTCGACGGTTCGCGTCGCTGCACCGACGACCACGACCACGACAACGACGACCACGACGACGACGTCGACGGCCGACAACATGACCGGCGACGATGGAGACGATGGCGATGATGGTGACTTTGTCATAGTTGGGTAACATTTTACATTTTGAAGGGTACTTAAAATATAACGAACATGAGTTGAAATGTTTTTAATACCATCCCAACCATGAACTAGGTGACGATGGTGATGATGGCGAGGAACCGCCCAGCTCGGCAATCGCCGGCACTGCCTCTGCCGCTGTGCTGGGGCTCGCTGCGCTGCTCTTGGCATAGTCGCTTCGATTTCGAGAGCGCACTCAATTTGTTTTCCGACTGGCAAATAAGCCCAACAGTGCGCCCAACTTTGCCTGTTCTCAAAGGGTGAACGGCCCTTCATAGACATGTTTCTCCTTTTACAGCTTGGTCCTGGTCCTTGTCTCATGGCCAGAAGTAAGCTTCCAAGCTCGCAAGAGCTTACAGTGTACGAATCCTTGACATCTCCTGGCACTGCAGCCGGCAGACAGCTGCCTGGCACACGAGGGCGCCGCACATGGTGCGCCTGCACGGTACCACGCTACGATTCATGCCTTTCCTTCGCCAAATGGCCAATGCGAGGGCAACACTGCTTTCTGCAAGGGTTGGCGATTGCAAAAAACACTTCGTTTGAGCCCTGCTCGGGGACTGGACCCCCTCAACTGGAAGCCTTAAACTAACGCCCAACAAGTCTAAAACCTAAGCCCTAAAGAGAAAGTATGGCCACATGAGTGTATTCTGCTCGGTTTCCGCGGTGTTGTTTTTGGCCTTGTTTGAGGCTCAATCGTGTAGTCTTCATGTGCCATTCACACATTGAATCCTAAACCCTAAACCCTAAACCCTAAACCCTAAACCCTAAACCCTAAACCCTAAACCCTAAACCCTAAACCCTAAACCCTAGACCCTAGACCCTAGACCCTAGACCCTAAACCCTAAACCCTAAACCCTAAAAAACCCTAAACCCCAAACCCCAAACCTTCGGGGCAGTCTCAAGGCTTGGCGTCTACAGCTCGGCGCGGTTTCAAAAGAAGCTCCAGGTGCTCATCAGGCGCCTGCAGAGTCTGAGGGTCAAGCTCTGAGGGTTTAGGGTTTAGGGTTTAGGGTTTAGGGTATATAAGGGTATATAAGGGTATGTAGGGTTTAGGGTTTTAGGGTTTAGGAGGCGTGAAGGGCTGCTAAAGGTAAAGGAAGCAAAAGGGTACTTTAGGGGGCAGTGAGGGCTACAGGGCTTTTGAAAGTGGGGGGGGGGTGGGGGGGCTTCATGTCATCCGCTTGCGCGCATGCAAGGCCACCTATTCCTCCGGCAGATACTCCAGACCCGAAACGCCTCCAGGCGGCCTCCTTCCAACAAGGCTTGTAGGGTCTCATAAGACAAGCCCAGCCCACCCTAAACCCTAAACCCTATATTAACCCTAAACCCTAAACCTCTCCCTTGCCCGCACACCCCCCCCCCCCCCCACCCCCCAAACCCCCAACAAAAACCCCCAAACGCAACAGACCGCCCCCCAGCGATGCCAGGAAAGACGCGGACAAGACGGACAGCAGCGACTTCCACAAGCGCCTGCAGTTCCCTGGCGTTGTTTTTCTTACAAGGAGGGTTCTCCCCTTGTCATCAGTAGAGTTGTCAGAACTCTAAATTTGGGTTGTAAGGATCCTAAGTTAGGTTATAAGCCCCTTAAGTACCGTTGGTATAGTAAGGGGGCCCCCTCCTTGTAGTAGTAGTAGTAGTAGTAGTAGTAGTAGTAGCAGTAGTAGTAGTAGTAGTAGTAGTAGTAGTAGTAGTAGTAGTAGTAGTAGTAGTAGTAGTAGTAGTAGTAGTAGTAGTAGTAGTAGTATATGGTAGTAGTAGTATATGGTAGTAGTAGTATATGGTAGTAGTAGTATATGGTAGTAGTAGTATATGGTAGTAGTAGTATATGGTAGTAGTAGTATATGGTAGTAGTAGTAGTGGTAGTAGTAGTAGTAGTAGTAGTAGTAGTAGTAGTAGTAGTAGTAGTAGTAGTAGTAGTAGTAGTAGTAGTAGTAGTAGTAGTAGTAGTAGTAGAGTATGCAACCTTTAACCTTTTTGGGTCAATATAATCCCCTTAGAATCCCAAAGGTTAACCTTTAGTTCCTCTAGGTACTGGACAATACTAAGTTTTTTCTTGATTGTACTTAGGGTCTAAAAGTTGGGATGTTCAAGCTTATACTAACAGTCCTTAATCGGGGTTCTACTAGGGGGTACTACAATCCCTTTTAGGGACTGTTAGCATAAGGGGGAACATCCCAATGCTTAGGGCCTGAAAGGATTGCACAGGTTCTTTGGGACTTCACAAGAGGACGCTGCTCGTGGCACTGGTAGCTACAAGATCTCTTCTAGGACCCAGAGTAGATCCTTATCTACTAACTGCTTAAGACTTAAGAACCCCGAGCAAAATAAAATGTTCTTCCTTTTTCAGGGTAATATAGGGGTCATATTTATTTTATTCTTTGGGGGTTCTTAAGCCAATAGTGGTTATTTTCTTTTTTAGGGTTTAGGGTCCAGCCTACACGGTTGTGCTTCAAGGGGTAAGCTTTCTTGATCCCAGGAAGCTCCTGCGAAAGCCACAGCTGGACTCCTGGGCGTTATAGCATTTTTGTTGCTTTCTGGGGGGCGGGGAGGGGGGTGGGGGGGGGGGGGGGGGGGGGGGGGGGGGGGGGGGGGGCAGTGGTTTCTTTCAGGACCTATAGATGCTAGACCCCAAAAAAAGAGGGGGGCGCCAGGTTCAAGGTGCCCGCGGTGTTTGTATCGAGGGTGCATGCGGGGTTTTCGGCTCAGTGGGGCCTTGGCTGGGAAAGTCCGAGCGGCACAAGTGGGTAAGGCCCGGACTCGTAAGAGGAGGTATTGGGTGGGAAGCCCCAATCCTAGACCCCAAAAGCAGAAGCCTCAACTCCCAAAAAGAGATGTGTGCTGGCGAGCCCTGAACCCTAAACGGGAGATGTTGGGCAGGAAGCTGAAGCCCAAAAGAGCAGATGGTAACCTAAACCCTAAACCCTAAACCCTAAACCCTAAACCCTAAACCGGCGGTCCAGAGGGCGGGGAGCCCATAGCCCGTGCGCACTAAACGGGACGCGCCAAAGCGCCGCGTGCACCCTGGATGTGCGGACGCGTCCTTCAACAGCCCTTTCTGAACCCCGAAACCCCAGAACCTAGGCCCCATACCCCAAACCCTACACCCTAAGGCCCTAAACCCTAAACCCTAAACCCTGATTACACACTGCACCCTGCACCCTGCACCCGACACTATACCCAAGCCCCAAACAGAGGGTCAGCGCAAGGCCAAACCGAGAAGCGCAGGATTTATAGAGCTCAGGGTGGGTTGCTGAGTCTGGGTGGTGGGGTTTAGGGTTTAGGGTTTGGGGTTTAGGGTTTAGGGTTTGGGGTTTAGGGTTTAGGGGGGCACGCCCAGGACATCATTGCCCAGTATGGCTTTGACCCCTCGGATGAAGGCATCGAGGCGCGAGAAGACGCCCTAGAACCTATCCCTAGATGCTGGGTTTAGGGTCTAGGGTTTAAGGGTTAAGGGTTTCGGGTTTAGGGTTTAGGGTTTCGGGTGGGGTGCTTGGCAGTTTGCACTAGCATGAAGCGCGTGCTTATGGGGAGAGCAAGACCTTGGTGTATGATCAGGAGCGTCCAGGACAGCCAGTACTATAGGGGTCGGAATAATTATTTATAATCTTCCCTTTTAGGGTTTAGGGTTTAGGGTTTACTATTATAATCCCCCAAAACCCTATTCAAATTATTCAGGCCCCCATAGTCGTTTCTTTGTCCCGTCGGGTTGGGAGGTTTTCGCGTTCGCCTCGTGCGTGGTGCGTGGATCTCTTGAGGAGATGACACTAGCACTCAAAGAGCTCGAGGAGGATGCAGACATCTACGTGCCTCAGCTGCTTTTTGGTCCAAGGCCTAAGTTTGGGCTTTCTAGGACGCGCCCGAAACCCCAAACCCTGTCGGGAACGAGATCGGATGTCAGAGTCGGACCGTACCGAAGCCCTGCCTGCTGGGCGCCCGAGTGCTGCGTGCGAGTGCGAGAGTCGAAACCCAAAACCCTAAATCCTAAACTACCGACAAAAAAAAGGAAACAAAAAATTAAAAAAACGAATCCGTCAACCTTAGCCGGCCTCAGCCAGAGTTGGGGTTTCCGCAAGGTGAACGCCATGGCCATTGAGGAGGCACTGTACAGCTCGCTTGAGGTTGCCCAGGACCTCCGGGGGGGGGGGGGGGGGGTTTAGGGTTCAAGGTTCCTCATTGGGGTTTAGGATGTAGGGTTTCGGATTTGCTTGTTTTTCTGTTGTGAGTCGTTTGGCTCGTGCATCCGGCATGGTCCTCAGTTCGGGGTTCCAAAGAAGGGCTCCTTATTGGGTCTAAAGACATCATATCTTCTCCCTGCAGAGTCCTATGCTCCTGAGGAGCTTGGAGCACAACAAGAGCTTAGCGCGTTTAGGCCTCTGACACCCAATAGCTCTAAACCATGAGAGCCCAAACACTGATTAACCTATGATTAAGCCCTAAGACCGAAAACCCAAAACCAAACTCGAAGTTCCAGGAAAAGGAGGTCCCAAGCGATGGGGTGTGCCCCGCAAAGCCAGACACCAAGCCGGCTGTGTACCTCTTGCTGAGAAGCCTGCTACTCGGCGTACGGTCCATAAGTTATGAGCTGCGGGTTTGCAGGGTTTAGGGTTTAGGGTTTAGGGTTTAGGGTTCAGGGTTTAGGGCTTAGGGCTTAGGGCTTAGGGCTTGGGAGGTTGCAGGTTTCCGTCGCTCTCAGCCTTTGCCTTCCGCTGCGCATCGTTGGGCATGGGATGGCTTTGCCAATTCTGCTGTGCCTTTAAATCTTCCTCCAACCCAGAGACGCAGACCTGGGGGCCTTTGGTTCATGATGCCCTTTCTTTCCTTTTAGGGGGGGGGGGGGGGAGGGGGACTCTAATGCACTAAGTCCAGTAACACGCAAATGGATGGCGGGCACAGCGTGGGGGTTGGAGGTGTGTCACGCGCCCGCGCTCAATCCTGAACCCCAGTTCCCCAAAACCTCCTCCTGTGTAGGTTTAGGGTTTTGGGTTATGTTTTAGGTTTTCGAGTTTAGAGTTTAGGGTTTAGGGTTTAGGGTTTAGGTCTAGGTGGATTTAGCCAGCTGAGAGCCCCAAGCCTGTTCAGCAATTAGGAAGTTCTTGTGTAGCCGACAGCATCCGCCCACACCCCAAAGTCTGAACAAGGTGGCTTCTTCCCTAAACCCTAAACCCTAAACCCTAAACCCTAAACCCTAAACCCTAAACCCGAAGCCTTAAAAAGGTTCCCATTGTCGAAGCGAAGGCATTTTAGGGCAGGGTGTAGGGAGCCCAAAATACCTAAACCCTAAACCCTAAACCCTAAACCACCATGCGAGTGCCGATGTCGTATGAGGTTGCTGAACTTCAGCCCCTGATCTGCAAGCGGGCTTCTCTTGTTTCTTAGGGTTCAGGGTTTGGGGTTTGGGGCTTGAGGGTTTAGGGTTTAGGATTTAGGGTTTAGGGTTTAGGGGTTTTAGCCGAGGCTGAGAGGGAGCGGTGTCGTGTCTTTTCCTGGCAGTTGTCAGTTGTTCAGTCCAGTTGCAAAAAAAGGATATGTTGAGTGAGGTCTCCAGAACTTTGGTCGAGCAGTTTGAGGGCACCCCCAATGGTCGAGGGCTGCGGTGCCAGAGGATTCAGAGCCTATAGGGGCGCCCCAGTTCAGAAGTGGGAGTGCCCTTGCTTGGTCGCCAGAAAACCCTGCAGCCCTCGATCGGTAATGCCGACGCTGGGCTTGGGATGAACGCGAAACCTTAAACCCTAAACGCTATAATCCCAAAGCCCTTCAGCCCTCGACCCTAACCTATACCTATACCTAAGCCCAATACCCCTTGAATCAGGGACAGACCTTAAACCGCAGGAAGTGCTTAGGGTTCGGGCGGAGGGTTCGAAGAATTGAGGGTTTTGGGTTTCGGTTTAAGTTTAATGACAAAGAGTCCTGTAGAAAAGGCGCTTGAGGGTTAAGAAGTTCTTCCTGCGAATTAAGGAGTTCAACTAAGGGGTGCTGGACTCGTACTGGACTCTCTAGCTACCCCTTAGCCCCTGGCTCAACTTTCTGGCAAGTAGCCCTTTGGATTTGCTTGAAGTAGGATAGCTAACATTCCATTGCATTAAACCTTGGAACCTGCCCAGAACAGTTTCTTCTTTGGGCACTAAACCCTAAACCCTAAACCCTAAACCCTAAACCCTAAACCCTAAACCCTAAACCCTAAACCCTAAACCCTAAGCATGTATAGTGCCTGCCCCACACCCAAAGCCTCACGGCCTAAAAGATCCAGAAACTTGGCGCAAGGCGAAGCATGGTTTCAGGACAGCACGTTTAGGGTTTAGGGTTTAGGGTTTAGGGTTTAGGGCAACTGGGGTTTACGAACTGTCAACCCTACAACCCTGAGGGTTTGTAGTGCTAATGAAGGGTTTGGCGACCTTTCGCGGTAATGGGTTTAGGGTTTAGGGTTTAAGGGTTTAAGGGTTTAAGGGTTTAAGGGGTTTAAGGGTTTAAGGGTTTAAGGGTTTACGGGTTTACGGGTTTACGGGTTTAGGGTCAAAGCCCTTGAGCCCTTTGGAGGTTGGGAGGGGGGCTTGGGAGTACTGCCCGTTGCCCGACTTGAACCCAGCAGCCCTGGGCCCAAATCACCCTATCTTCTTTAGGGTGTAGGGTTTAGCTTTTCCACATAGACATAAGGATCCTGCTGTTGGGGCAAGGGCCCCTGTAAGGGGCATTATGGAAAACCCTGCTTGCAGAATCCTCATGTTTGTGTGGTTTTCTGGGCCTCTATTTCTGGCTAGAGAAACGACGGCTCCCCATCGAAATTGCCCAAATCAAGGAAGTCAGACAACAACTGCTATCCTGAAGTTCTGATGACTGTCTTGCTCGAACTTAAGGGAGGGTGTAACCCTGAGCCCTAGAAACCCCAGACGTCGAAGCCCTAGACCCTGCACCCTGAACCCTAGACCTTAACCCCCCCAACCCGGTCAAGCCACTTCGGGCTTGCTTGGAGGTTCATGGGTACTTATAAGTAGGGTTATAGGTGCCCTAAAAGAGGTTATAGCCACTTGTAACTTTAGCTACCCTACTTACAACCCCACTTACAAGTACCCATGAACCTTCAAGTATAGGAGTCCATCCAGCAGTTGCAGCGCAAAGCAGATTCCCGGTGCGGTCACGCAGATCTCGTGCCGCGCCATATCTTGGCACATGGGGTCTAAACCCTAAGGCCCTAGGACCCAGAGCAGGCCCTCATTTCCTTTTTTTAGGGTTTAGGTTCCCTTACAGGCCCCTTTCAACCAAAAAGGGCACCCTTTTATTCCTAGGTTACTCTTGTGTCTAGGCCCTCAACACCCTGAAAGACGTGCCCATATACACGAGTTGAATACGTCGAGAGTCAAATCCAAAAGATCCGAGGAAACATGCATGTTTTACGGATGCACTACTATGATGCAGACAAGGAAGACAACTTGTTACGGAAAGGACGAGACATGGCATGTTAAAGCCATACTGCTAGCGTTGGAGCACAGGCCCAGAAGAAGTGCAGGAGTTTAAGGTTTGGGATTGCGGAGAGCCCCTGGCCCGTTTGTTTGTATCATCTCAGTCTTCACTATCTACCTCGCATGCTTATCAGAAACCGAAACTTACTAGCGCTGCAGTGACTGCAGTGAGGTAAGCTATAGGGTTGAGAGCCACAAAGGTGGGGATTGTACTGAAAGGGAGTCATATGCGGGTTTGGCCTATACACCCTATAACCCCTGCTATAAAACCCTATGAAGCCCTATAAAACCCGATAAAACCCTATCAAACCCCCCTACAAACCCTAAGCCTGAAAAGGCCCTGCCTTCCTTTGCTATTTTAAGAAGGCTTTCCCCACTCTGCTTCCATGGCAGAGGCCGATGAGAAGAAGGCAAGGCCAGGCAGCTAAAGGCCCGCTCCCGCGCGTAAATGCTCTATAGCGGTCTGAATCATTCGAAGAGGGTCCTGCAAGCGGGGGGGGGGGGGCTAATGACAGTCTCATTACCATATGGGGCCCATAAGGGAATGCTAGTAGTAACTATTCCGACCCCCTTTTGTTACTTGCGCGTGGGAGCGTCGGTCCCATGGCGCCCGCCACCTGCGCCGAAGAAGCCGCCGCCTGCGCCGAGGATCATTGGGCCGGCACCTTTGCTCGTGGAAAGCGGGTTGCCAGCCTCCGTGGCTGGGGTTTACGATTTAGTTAGGGTTTAGGGTTTAGGGTTTAGGGTTTAGGGTTTAGGGTTTAGGGTTTAGGGTTTAGGGTTTAGGGTTTAGGGTTTAGGGTTTAGGCCGTGTGCGTGGTGACGATTGGTCGCACCAGTTTGTGACGTCGCACGTGGCGCTGCCGGTGGGCGTTGGCGCGACAGTATGCCAACAGGACCATTGAGTTCCTCCAGATTCTCGAAACCCCGAACCTATAAAACCCTATGAACCATGAACCCTGCAACCCCTAGAATCCTAGAAGCCCCAACACCCCTAACACCCAGCTTGAAGAAATCTAAGCTTTACTAGCCGCCTTCAACGGTTTCTGGCGTCGACATGGTGAATATAGGGGGCTTCTCCTTTGGGTCTTCGTATTTTGGGGTGGCTTTAGGGTGTAGGGTGGGTTCGGCATAATTATCCAGCGCTCAGGATGAAGTCAGGCTCCAGAAAAGATCCCCAAAGCACACAAGGATGGCTACTTCCACCTCCCCGGGCGCGCAGAGCTCGCGCTGCAAGACGCCCGGCAGCGTTTAGGGTTTGAGTTTGGGGTTTGGGGTCCACAAAAATCCCTCGAAATCCCAAAAGAAGGGGAGGGACTCCGGACCAGGATCCCCGACTAGAAGGGACCCTTAATCTCTTCCCCTATATAACCCCTACATACCTTATATCGTTCCTATACACCTAAGTAGCCCCTAAATGTCCCCCAAATAACCCCTAAGGTGCCTTACAAGGGTCCCTCCTTTAGTCCCTTAAGTTGCGCAGTCCGTCGCCCCGGCAGTCGTAAGGTCATCAGTACGTGCTGAGTACAGAAGGTTTGCTTAACCCAGAGTTCCCACAGGTGGACCGTCACCCTGTCTCCTCCACTTATTTGAGGGAACCCCAACAAAGCCAGACGCCGATTCCTGAACCAAGAACACCCCTGAACCTTTAAACCCGCAAGCCTTTCGAACGCTTAAACCCTAAGCCCCCAAACCTTTCAACCTCATCCAAGAGCCTCGCCTGCCGGTGCCAGTGTGCCTGTCGAAGCTTATGACAATACCTAAGTCCTTGCACCCTGAGCACTCCCACAGCTGTGAGCCACTAAGCCCAAAACGTACTCTTCCAGCATTGATTGGTGAAGCTTGTTGGAACCCTAAACCCCATAAGGCTTAGGTACCTCAACCCAGCAAAACCCTAACCCTGACTCCTATATCGTGAGGCCTCAACACTATGGTCCATGTTAGGGTTACTACTCCACAGTGGCCCCCTTAACAGTCAGGGTACCCAAAAAGGGAGCGCAGGTTGGAGAAGTGACCCTATGAATCGGGCCAGGTGCAGAAGCGTGTTCTTCCTCATTTCGGCTTTGAGGCCACGAAGGCGTGCTGCCTTGTGGTCTCCATTCGGGTGTTAGGGTTTAGGGCTTAGGGTTTCGGGTCTAAGGGTCTAAGGGTTTAGGGTTTAGGGTGCAGGGTCTAAGGGTTTAGGGTTCGTCCTTCGCCTTCGAGCCATTCGGCCTAGGACACATGAATCGAGGACTGATTCAGCTGGGGCCTTAAACCCAAAACCCTTACATATGCCAGCCTGCGAACTCTCCACAAGTCCT